ACCATAAGAAACCTACCAAAATTATTTTCATAATTTTTTTAAGTTATATTTTGATTTATATAATTAAAATAAGCCAAAATGCCCACTTTAGCTTGAAAATTAAGGCTAGAAGCATAGATATGCCCTCTGACCTTGGAAAAATCAGAAGACATGGTCTCTATGATGGGGAATGAACTCTCAAAATTTCAAGTCATGGTGAGCAATATTTAATAATAGAGAATTAAAATACCACAAAGGGTATTTAGTTCATTAAAAATTAGGGAATAAGAAAATAATTTTTATTTTTATTCCACATTATTTTCCTTTGTTCACTGAGAAAGAGAGTATTTTAATTTTATTTTTATGAATTTTCTAGAGAAAGATATGGATTTTTGAAGTTTAGACATTAAAAATAATTCAAAAATCACATATTTTTCTACTTATCCACGCGGCGCCACCTCAACCTTGTCCGCTCCAAAGGGTCCACGCGTCGCTCCTCCATTTGACGCCACCAGCCACATAGCCTCCGTGCTGATAGCGCTTTATGCACCGAGAGTATGTCCGGCTTGATCTCCTTCGTCCATTGGATACATGCACGATCGGAAGGCTCTCCGTTATCATCCTCAAGTGACCTAACCCGTGAGCCGTTCACACTAAAACCTTAAAATCTCTACCTAAACTCAACCAAATCGTATGGGATTTGTTCTTAAACCTTCATCTACTCAAAACGAGTAAATCTATACGGTTTATACAGTATGAAATACAGTAAATACGTATGAAGAGTCAAAACAAGCTCGGTTTAGGGTTAGAGTTCAATACCTTTGTCTGAGAGGGGAGGCCTCAATCAAATGATTGTGATAGCTTTGATTGGGTCCAACGAACCTCCAGATGAAGTCCTTAGCCTTGGTGAATGGTCTAGGTATGAATTAAATCAAAGTGTTTTTCAGGTGTTGGTCTAGAACTAGGTTAGAGGTTGTTTGAGAGAGGGCTTTTGTGGGGAATCAGATTCTTTCATCATGGGGATGTGTGTGCACAATTAATTGGAGTTTGGTTCACCGTGGAGATGTGGAGAGATTTGTCCTGGTTTTATGACAAATTTCAATGAAGAAATTGGCTCTGTGGGGTGGTTATCAATGGCTGAGAGCAAGTGGATTGCACTTGGGATGGTTTGGAGAAGCTTTGGTGAGATTTTGGCAGAGTTTCCTTAAAGTTCCAAGAACTCTTCTCTTTGGTCGTGGAGAGCTCCATTTAAATCCATGGTTGTCTGATGGAGCTCAGGGCTTGGAGTTTGGTGCTAAAGCTTGTTGAGGTGGAGGGAAGAAAAACTCTAATGACTAATGGGAGTGAGTCAAGTTAGAGAGGTTCAATTTTGTGTTTTGGCTACTCGGGGCTCCCTTGGGTTGGCTCTTTCCGACGGCTGAGGTGGTGGCTGGCCAAAGTCCTTCTTGGCTCAGGGAGGTCAGGGGGTGCTTAATGATGGTTAACCCCAAGGGTAAGCAATGATGAAGGAGATATTTCAAGTTTAGGCCAAATATGGGGTGAAATCACTTAAATCAAGGGACCATTGGTCCATAGCTCATTTTGGATGGTTTAGGTGAGTCTAGCCTGGTCCATAGGGTGGTGGTTGTGGTGTCATCAATTTGGTGGTTTAGGCACGACTAAGTAAATTTTGGTGCATGGGTCCAAATTGGTTCCAAGTGGCTAAGAGTTGGGTTTGGGTTAGGCTAGCCATGACTTTGAGCTTGACTTTGAGCGTTTGGGTTAGGCTAGCCATGACTTTGAGCTTAATTTGTGTAACAACATTGTGTAAATGATTGTCATGAAGATTTTTGGTGAAAGATTGACATGATTTTGAGTTCAATTGGAAGCTCAATTTGAAAGATTTTGGGATTTTGGTCAATTTGGGCATGTTGGACTAGGCTTGAGTCTAGGCTGGGCTAATTCCAAATTGATGGTTGGAAATAGTCCATTGTTGCCAAAAATTGCAATCGAATGTCATGAAGAGTTTTCAACATAGATTGGGTGTCAATTTTGGGGTTAGTGCATTCAATTTGGTGGAATTTGGAGACATAGCCAATTTGGGGCTAATTTGGGGATTTTTGGATTTGGATCAAAATTGAGTGCAATTGAGGCTGTACCAAGGCCAATTTAGGGTCAAATTTGATGTTTAGGATTGTTATCAATATTTTAGGATTCAAATTAGGGCAAATTAAGTAAGCTATGGGGTTCAATTAGGTGAGAGTAGGTCATAGAACCAAAATTGGGGGTTTGACTTAAATCAAAATTGAGCTCAAAGCATGAGCTCAAAGCATTTGGTTTAGATTGGTTACGTGAAAGATTAATTTGAGTTTAGAATTGAAATTGAGGGGAATTGAGCTCAAATTGATGAACATTTGAGGTGAATTTGGGAAAATTGAGCCTTTAAAGACAATTTGAAGGTTTTGGTCAAAATGATCAAATTGGCCAAATTGGGTTCAATTGAAGGGTCCAAAATGGTTTTGGAAATATTTGGAGTGATTTTTGAGGTTTTGGGAAAGTTTGGGGTGCCAAGGGTATTTTTGTAATTTTGGCAAATTTTTGGGGTATTTTGGTAAACTTGGAATTTTTGGGTGGATTTGGGTAATTTGGGTATTTTGAAATGGTTTGAAATGATTTTTGAACAAATTTGGGCATTTTGGTTGAATTTGAGGATTTTGACCAAATTTAGGGTTTCAAGGACATTTAGGTAATTTGGGTGGATTTAGAGGATAAAGGTCAAATTGGACATTTTGATAGAATTGGGGTACCAACCACCCTATATGAGCTATGGACCAATGAAATCTCCATTTGGGTCCTCTATGTACTGGTCTTAGCTAAACTTTAGCCTAGAGCTAGTGGGTCTAAGGGACCATATACATGAGTCTCCCAAAAGATCAAGAGATCAAAGTCAACAATTTGGGTTTTAAGACCGTGAGTGATTGTGGGTGATAGTGAGTGTAGTGAGTGAACCAGCTCTAGACCAACACCCAGGGTCTACCCTAAGGTCAAATAGTTCTATGGGTACTCTCCTCGAGCTCCCTCATAGTGCCCCGTCTACTAAGTGCTAGAGGTTATGATCAATATGTAGAGCTTCAAGTTGAGCAAAGAGGAGTGTAGAATTTCTAATTGTGAGGGATCATTTTCTAGTTTTTTAGGAATAGTCAATAGGAAAGTCATATGGCTAGGCTACTAAAGAGGGAAAACTAAACCTCAACCAAAAGTGAGGTCAACAATCATGTATTCAACCTTCATGGTAAACAAAGAAACAATAGATTGAAAATTTGATCTTCAAATGATTGAATCTCCTGTCAATGTGAATAAATAATCGTTCATATAGTTGTGTCTATCCATATCATATACATAGTCTGAAGCAATGCAGCCTGCACACAAATTAGTAATATATGCATGTCTTTCAAACACTAAGTGAACACCAATTGCACGCTTTATATACCTTAGAATATTCTCCGCATCTTAACAGTGACTCTTTCCTGAATCATGCATGAATCTGCTCACAATATCAATCGCTTGTGTAGTTTCTAGTTTAGTACAAACTGCACATTGTATTAATTGCATTTGATATCATTATGGATGTGCTAATAATATAAGAAGCAAAGTATTCCTTCAAAAATTTAATTTGCAAATTAGCATATTAAAATACTCATTATATTAGCATAAGCAAGCCAAGCACAAGCCAGATTAAAATAGTAGAAAGTTTAAACAAGCCAAATAGAAACATATATATGAAAGCTGACTTCGAACTCGAGCTGGACTGAGCAACTTTTAGCACGATCAAATTAAATCCAATCCACAATGTGCTTGATTGACTCGATCCCAACCCTACTCGCTAGTTGACCATTTGTGTCGAAGGCCGTCTATATGATTGTTAAGTATTCCTAAAGAATGGCTTCTTTAGCCAAAAAGGTTTGTATATATTACACTATTGCATATCAAATTGTGAAAAACACATTCTCACCAAAGAAACATCACATAAGTAATAAAAAATGTTAGAGCCAAATATAAATAAAACAATAAATATGACAATATACCTTAGAATATTCTCCGCATCTTAACAGTGACTCTTTCCTGAATCATGCATGAATCTGCTCACAATATCAATCGCTTGTGTAGTTTCTAGTTTAGTACAAACTGCACATTGTATTAATTGCATTTGATATCATTATGGATGTGCTAATAATATAAGAAGCAAAGTATTCCTTCAAAAATTTAATTTGCAAATTAGCATATTAAAATACTCATTATATTAGCATAAGCAAGCCAAGCACAAGCCAGATTAAAATAGTAGAAAGTTTAAACAAGCCAAATAGAAACATATATATGAAAGCTGACTTCGAACTCGAGCTGGAGTGAGCAACTTTTAGCACGATCAAATTAAATCCAATCCACAATGTGCTTGATTGACTCGATCCCAACCCAACTCGCTAGTTGACCATTTGTGTCGAAGGCCGTTTATATGATTGTTAAGTATTCCTAAAGAAGGGCTCCTTTAGCCAAAAAGGTTTATATATATTACACTATAGCAGATCAAATTGTGAAAAACACATTCTCACCAAAGAAACATCACAGAGCCAAATTTAAATATGACAATAAAATGTAAGGTAAACTGGCTACAAAGCAATCTCAAACACAACTTTTAGTATTTTACAAGCTTAGTTTTAATAAAGAAAATAGACAAATTCAAATCTTCAACCATATGTGTAAGATTTCAATACTTGATTGCTTATGCACAAGCAACAAGAAGAGAAATTTCAGAGAAAGAAGTTAACATACATGACACATCCATTGCTCACAAGCCTACTACAATAGAGAAGAAAAATAAACGGCAATTCCAGCTGCCGAAAGCTCAAGAAATTGAGAGAAAAATAAAGAGAAACAGAAGAATAACAACGAATAAGGCGTTACTTTATTTCATTCATTTATTTTTAATACTACATGGTAGAGAGTATTTACAAAAGTACAAAGACTCATAAGGCCGCATTCACCACTCACCAAATGTCTTGGCATGAACAAGAACCATCTACAAAACGATGGAATCTATCCGGATCCCTCAACATGATCTCCCTGCCACAAATTATACTGATCATCTTAGCTGATTCATGGCAATTCCTGCAAACTCTCATGTTCTTAGTCACCCTTATAACAGTGCCGGCTTCAGTGCTTATCAACCCGAAAGCAATGGCAAGCATCTCACTGTGCCCATAATGAATACATTCCCTCTCTTCATCCACATCATGAAAGCTGAAATCTTCCAAAAAAACATAACCTTTTTCTCTCATTCTTTCCACCAATCCCTTGAGCTCCCAGTAGATCCTCTCCGATCTTGGATGTGAGACGTCTCCAGTGCTGAAAGCATGAATCTTGCTTCTGAATTCAATCCAGCTACAAGCTTTCTTTGGTTTCAAACCCATGTCCACCATCATCTCCCTCAGCTCCATCACCTTTCTGCGATTCCCATTTGCTGCATGAAGGTTTGACAGTAGCACATAATTCTGAGCGTTGAGAGGATTGAGCTCTATGAGCTGCTCAGCTATTCGTCGTCCAATTTTCGTGTTCAAATGAATCCTGCAACCATCTAAAATCGCTCGTAATGCATCAGGATCATGCTCGATGCGGTGATCCTTTAAGAATGTTTGAGCTTCAGAAAATCTCCCAGTTCTGGCGAGAATCCTAGCCATCAGTATACAATGCTGAAGCTCTGAATGTTTTAAAAAAGCCATTTTGAAAAAGTTCTCTCCTTGATCCAATATACAGTTAGTGCCACAGCAATGGAGAGCTGCTGCATAAGTAGCTCCATCTGGTTCAGTTCCTCCATCTTTCTCAATCTCATTAAACAACGCAACTCCAACATCTCCATGGCCATGCAAGCTGTAGCCTAGAATCATCACAGTCAACGAGACTGAATCCCTTTCAGACATTCCATCAAATATCTTTGAGGCATACTCAATGGTTCCGGATTTTGCATACATATCACTAAGAGCATTTTGAACTGCAGTGTTCATCTCAATGTGTTGCCTGATAATGAAGCCATGAATCTCCATTCCGTGCTTGCGAGCCGCCACCCTCGCGCAAGCAGGGAGCACGGCTGACACCGAGAACTCGTCAGGTTTGATTCCATCCGCCATCATTGCTCGGAAAAGCTTCAGTGCTTCATTGAAGCTACCGTTCTGCGCATAGCTGGTAATAATTGTGGTCCATGAAACCGCATCCTTGTGCGGCATTGAGTCGAACAGAGCCAGTCTTTCTTCCATTCTTCCGCAATCAACGTACATCTTTAGAAGCGAATTGGTCACCAAGAGATCGCAATCCAATTTCCTCTCTTTTGCGAACTCATAAATCTTCTTCCCGTCTCGCGCTGACTTCAACTGTCCGCAAGCTTTCGTGGCGGTGGCCACAGCAATGGCGTCGATCTTTATACCAGAAGCGACTAATTGGTAGAAAACATGGAGGGCCGAATCAGGATTGTTTTCCATGAGGTATAATCTGGCGAGAAGCGTATAGGCGATGGGGGTTTGGGGATTAGAATGGAAGAGAAGAGAGGATGCGGAGTTCGCTCCGCCGAACTGTGAGTAGAGCTCCATGAGGGCCGAGAGAACGTAGGAGTCGCCCAAAAGTCGGAGCTTTAAGGCGTGGGAATGGAGCTGCCGACCAGTAAAGAAGGCGGAGGCGAGGCGGGAGGCGGTGAGCGCACGGGGGAGCGAATGGCGGTCGGGAAGAACGCCGGCAAGGAGCATGTCACGGTAGGAGAGGATGGCGGCGTGGGGATCGCCGGCAGTGATATGGGAGTGAAGCAAGGCGTTCCAGGAGAAGGTGTCAATTAGCAGGGGAATTTTGTCGAACGAGTGGCGGGCGGGAGGTGGTTTTAGAAATTTGGGACTGGAACCAAAGATTGGCAGTTCGTTGTTGGGAAGTTGGGGGCTTTCTTGAAGGGAGCGGGTGAAGGAGCTATGCAACTCCATTGCTGCTGCAAGCTCTACCTGCTGATCCGTTCCTTGGCATTGTATGGCTCTCGGTGCAGAGAGGGCGAAGAGGGTGATGGAAGCCTAGATGAAATGAATGGGCCGGCTTAGCTATTGATTGTTGGGCCGTAATGATGTAAAGGCTTTGACCATTGCAATAAGCTTAGTTGAAAACTATTTAATAACCACTAGCATCCAATGACAACAATGCAAGTTTAAGAAGGCAGCATAGAGTTATCCGTTTAACTTCAGCCAACCAATTAAAAATATAATTTACATAATATTCATATTTTTGTTAATAAAGTGTATGCATTTGAAATGTAAAATAAAAAATTAAAATTAGTAAAATGTTAAAATAATTCATACTATTTACATGGGTTGTTTTAATCTAAAAGTTTATGAAAATGTCAGAATAGTCTGAGAACATTTTAAAATTGAGCTTTAATAGTCTTCAATAAATAGAATTTTAGTTCCAATTTAAAGAGTCAGAAACCATTTTAACACTTCTATAAACTCTGTGATAAAAATAAAACAAAACAATCAAATCATCAATCAACAATTGTATAGAATGTTCGTATGACACACTCTATCAAAAGAAATATGAATTTACCCATAACAAATTAATTATTTATTCATCGTAGAATCAAAACTTAAGAAAAAATTTGGCGAAATAAAAATAAAATAAAATAGAGGAGTAGTTTTTTTTATGAATTTTTAATAAATATGAATATTAAATTAAAATTATAATGATTATTAAAATATTATTTAGTTTATAAATTTAGGGAGGAAAATTTTATATATTTTTTATAGTATTAAAGTATTTTGATAAAAATTTAAGAGTTGCTAGTGTCTCATCCATGCATCTAGGGCTGTAAACGAGTCGAGTTTGAGTGAGCTCAGACTTGGCTCGTGTTCGGCTCGTTCGAAATAGCTCGTATTCGAAATCGGCTCCTGAACATTGTGTTTGTATTCGACTCGATTTAAATATTCGTGTTTGGCTCGAAATTGGCTCGTTAAACTAAAATTGAGAAAAATAAATGTAAAGTATGGGAATCGAACCTGGATCAAATCTATACAAATGAATACACTAACCACATTATCACATGAGGTCTTATGATTTGAACTTAAACATAAATATATATAATATATTATTATA